TATTCTTTCAGCTAAATCTTTCCATTTCCTCCCGGGCAAAGTTTAAAATGGCAAAAAAAAAAACAGGTTAGAAGCATCATTGAACATTGTATCGGTACCAACGAGACAAAAGACATACAAGACAAAACAATTGTTGATTTATGGCTTTTAGGCCATCAATATTTGTTGACGTTGATTCGTATCCCCTGAATGTTTTCTTTGATCACGGGTTTTAATGTGGGGTGAAGATATTGTTCTTTAGTTTGCCATATTTTGGGAAACCCACCAACTGCATGCTTAATGGGACATTTTGAATACCTGGATGAACGTCTCACACAATTTTCTTTACATTAATAGCTGACACAACTTTTCTTCTAATAAACCACATTGGCCTATGTTTGCCGAGCAAAATAAACGAAATTGCAACATAAGTTCCCAGAACCTAATCAAGCAAACAATTTTGGGGTTTGCTATGATGACAAGAACACAACACAATGGTGTTTTGAATTTTTATACTCGTGTATTGCAATCTGAACTGTTTAACATGTCAGCTACACCTCTTCAGCTCCTCACTTTCAAATTTTGCAAAAAAGACGCAGCGTAGTAGTAGACATTGACCATTTTAGCGGCCCCAGTGAGACATTAACGCCACAAAACGACACGTTATTTCTTCACTGCGGACATGTCATTAATGGTGTATAATGATCAACAAAAACAACTTCTGACTATTGTCTTAGAACAGGTGTTCCGATGCGTGCTCCCATGCCGTTTTATCATGATCAATATCAGCATGCAATATTTCTGGAAAGCAATTATCACTTGTTGAAAAGGCTATCTTAACACCTTGAAAGTCTTCCTTTGCAATTTACACATGGTATACGAAATCCAACAATCATTCAAAGTGACTGCGAACTTCACAACGTGCGTTACGATCGTCCAATATCCCAGATCGACATGCCGTCAGTGATATATGGGGATGCCAGAAGAAAAGAAGCTCAGTGCTTGTCTGAAACGTCAACCGCGTAATTTGGACTGGAAAATAAGTACAATTTATTTGCTAATGATATCCTGTCGGTGTTACAGTTCCGCTGTCCATTATCATCTATATCAATGGCAAGCCCAGAAAGCTAACCACATTATGTGTTTGAAATATGCTCCAAAGGTGGGACACTTCCTTTCGGAATCGCGCCGTATCTGAGTTTGTGAATAAATGTAAACAGCATAAATCCATGGTGAAATTGCAAAAACACCGCGCGGTTTATGGCGGCGGGTTACAGCAAATGTGCCCATTTGTGTTCGTTTGTGAGGCTCCCAGTTCCTTCAGTGCTGATCTAAGTCCGCTTTCCCTCCTCAGTTTGGGTCCTCTAGTATTGTTTTCTGAAAAATTATAATCGACTTGGAAATCATCTAGATATCACGCCAAGCTTTATTACCCTGGGTATTGTGTACTACCCATGGCTACGATCCTGCTCAAATAGTGGACTAGTTTGCAAACGATTTGAAGGTTAAACACAAACAACACATCTGACACTGTCATTAGTCAGAATAAAGTGGACCAAATCCGTCGAGAGACGGACATTTTTGGTGGAGATAGGTTATTAGGCCGAAGTCTTGGATCCCACCCTGCCATAATTCGCAAAGCTGAAGCTGAAGTACAGCAAATCACACGAACAAATTAAGTCAGCGACATCACTTTATTCCATGAAAATGACCTCAGAATTGTTGCACCACGCATAATAGCCGTCATAGGTGTTTGAAGTGCTCATTAACATCGTATGAGACATCTGGGTCGCAAGCTCGCTTCTGAAAGTCACGTGGCGTGAAACTCGTTACCCTGTGTCGATCTCCAGCATCGGAAGGGCCGTGCTGACCCAGACAGCAATGTCCAGCTGTAGCCGTGCTGACCCAGACAGCAATGTCCAGCTGTAGCCGTGCTGACCCAGACAGCAATGTCCAGCTGTAGCCGTGCTGACCCAGACAGCAATGTCCAGCTGTGGTCCTGCTAACCCAGACAGCAATGTCCAGCTGTAGCCGTGCTGATCCAGACAGCAATGTCCAGGTGCGGCAGTGCTGACCCGGACTGCAATGCTCAGCTGTGGCAGTGCTGACCCAGACAGCAATGTCCAGCTGTGGCCCTGCTAACCCAGACAGCAATGTCCAGCTGCGGCAGTGGTGACCCAGACAGCAATGTCCAGGTGCGGCAGTGCTGACCCGGACTGCAATGCTCAGCTGTGGCAGTGCTGACCCAGACAGCAGTGTCCAGCTGTAGCCGTGCTGACCCAGACAGCAATGTCCAGCTGTGGTCCTGCTAACCCAGACAGCAATGTCCAGCTGTAGCCGTGCTGATCCAGACAGCAATGTCCAGGTGCGGCAGTGCTGACCCGGACTGCAATGCTCAGCTGTGGCAGTGCTGACCCAGACAGCAATGTCCAGCTGTGGTCCTGCTAACCCAGACAGCAATGTCCAGCTGCGGCAGTGGTGACCCAGACAGCAATGTCCAGGTGCGGCAGTGCTGACCCGGACTGCAATGCTCAGCTGTGGCAGTGCTGACCCAGACAGCAATGTCCAGCTGTGGTCCTGCTAACCCAGACAGCAATGTCCAGCTGTAGCCGTGCTGACCCAGACAGCAATGTCCAGGTGCGGCAGTGCTGACCCAGACAGCAATGTCCAGGTGCGGCAGTGCTGACCCGGACTGCAATGCTCAGCTGTGGCAGTGCTGACCCAGACAGCAATGTCCAGCTGTGGTCCTGCTAACCCAGACAGCAATGTCCAGCTGCGGCAGTGGTGACCCAGACAGCAATGTCCAGGTGCGGCAGTGCTGACCCGGACTGCAATGCTCAGCTGTGGCAGTGCTGACCCAGACAGCAATGTCCAGGTGCGGCAGTGCTGACCCGGACTGCAATGTCCAGCTGCGGCAGTGCTGACCCAGACAGCAATGTCCAGGTGCGGCAGTGCTGACCCAGACTGCAATGTCCAGCTGCGGCAGTGGTGACCCAGACAGCAATGTCCAGGTGCGGCAGTGCTGACCCGGACTGCAATGTCCAGCTGCGGCAGTGCTGACCCAGACAGCAATGTCCAGGTGCGGCAGTGCTGACCCGGACAGCAATGCTCAGCTGTGACAGTGCTGACCCAGACAGCAATGTCCAGCTGTGGTCCTGCTAACCCAGACAGCAATGTCCAGCTGCGGCAGTGGTGACCCAGACAGCAATGTCCAGGTGCGGCAGTGGTGACCCGGACTGCAATGCTCAGTTGTGGCAGTGCTGACCCAGACAGCAATGTCCAGCTGTGGTCCTGCTAACCCAGACAGCAATGTCCAGCTGCGGCAGTGGTGACCCAGACAGCAATGTCCAGGTGCGGCAGTGCTGACCCGGACTGCAATGCTCAGCTGTGGCAGTGCTGACCCAGACAGCAATGTCCAGCTGTGGTCCTGCTAACCCAGACAGCAACTGTCCAGCTGTAGCCGTGCTGACCCGGACAGCAATGTCCAGCTGTAGCCGTGCTGACCCAGACAGCAATGTCCAGGTGCGGCAGTGCTGACCCGGACTGCAATGTCCAGCTGCGGCAGTGCTGACCCAGACAGCAATGTCCAGGTGCGGCAGTGCTGACCCGGACAGCAATGCTCAGCTGTGGCAGTGCTGACCCAGACAGCAATGTCCAGCTGTGGTCCTGCTAACCCAGACAGCAATATCCAGCTACGGCAGTGGTGACCCAGACAGCAATGCCCAGGTGCGGCAGTGCTGACCCGGACTGCAATGCTCAGCTGTGGCAGTGCTGACCCAGACAGCAATGTCCAGGTGCGGCAGTGCTGACCCGGACTGCAATGTCCAGCTGCGGCAGTGGTGACCCAGACAGCAATGTCCAGGTGCGGCAGTGCTGACCCAGACAGCAATGTCCAGCTGCGGCAGTGGTGACCCAGACAGCAATGTCCAGGTGCGGCAGTGCTGACCCGGACTGCAATGTCCAGCTGCGGCAGTGCTGACCCACACAGCAATGTCCAGGTGCGGCAGTGCTGACCCGGACAGCAATGCTCAGCTGTGGCAGTGCTGACCCAGACAGCAATGTCCAGGTGCGGCAGTGCTGACCCGGACTGCAATGTCCAGCTGCGGCAGTGGTGACCCAGACAGCAATGTCCAGGTGCGGCAGTGCTGACCCGGACTGCAACGTCCAGCTGCGGCAGTGCTGACCCACACAGCAATGTCCAGCTGTGGTCCTGCTAACCCAGACAGCAATGTCCAGCTGCGGCAGTGGTGACCCAGACAGCAATGTCCAGGTGCGGCAGTGGTGACCCGGACTGCAATGCTCAGTTGTGGCAGTGCTGACCCAGACAGCAATGTCCAGCTGTGGTCCTGCTAACCCAGACAGCAATGTCCAGGTGCGGCAGTGGTGACCCAGACAGCAATGTCCAGGTGCGGCAGTGCTGACCCGGACTGCAATGCTCAGCTGTGGCAGTGCTGACCCAGACAGCAATGTCCAGGTGCGGCAGTGCTGACCCGGACTGCAATGCTCAGCTGCGGCAGTGGTGACCCAGACAGCGATGCCCAGCCGCGGCTGTGTTGGCTCGGACAGCAGTGTCCAGCTGCGGCCGTGCTGGCTCAGACAATGGTGTCCAGCAGTGGCATGCTGGCTCAGACAGTGGTGTCCAGCTGTGGCCGTGATGGCTCAGACAGTGGTGTCCAGCTGTGGCCGTGATGGCTCAGACAGTGGTGTCCAGCTGTGGCCGTGCTGACCCAGACAGCAATGTCCAGCTGCGGCCTTGCTGGTTCAGAAAGCAGTGGCCAGCTGTGGCCGTGCTGGCTCAGACAATGATGTTCAGTTGTGGCCGTGCTGGCAAGACATTAGTTCCTACTGTAGCCGTGCTTCTGCAGCATTATGTCCCATTGTCTCATGTTGTATATCTATTTCCTTGTTCCAAACATTTTCCTGATTAAAATAAACTGCATACACCGCCGCTTGTATGCATATGCATATGTGTGCATGCACATCACATGTCATATTCATGGTTATGTGTACACAAAGACCCCTTAGATATGATGAAAGTATATTTCGGGAAAACATGTTCGAGAACAACGTCCAAACATCACTTCCCTCAGAAAAGATGCGTTTACGCATTACGGACACGCATCATCAGTACCTCATTTGTGGATGCACATCGAGTAGATGATTTTCTCGTCTAATTATGTAGGGTACAGATTTGAAACATCTTAGTATGCGGAAGAGCTGTGACTTCATCTCATTCCAGCACCCTTTTAGATCCCCAGCACGCTCGGATCTTATTCAGAGTGCCGCTTCAATCTCTGATGACTGCCTTGTTTTTCTGAACCGAATCCACGCGCGGCCAGAGAACTGCGTTACATTTCCACGCGCACACCTTGCCCGCACGGCCGCCGGCCGGCCGTGTGCCGCCGTCCTGCGCACGGCTGCCGGTGACTGTCGCCCGGGGCGGTGTCAGGATCGGCCCCGGGTGCCGGCTGCCGCCTCTGGATGGCCGCTGGCCCTCTACCGGCAGAGGATGGAGTGCAGATTGCCACGGCCGAACGCCTGCGTCTCGATGTGCCGGTCAGTCAGCGTCGGGCACGTCTGGTGCGATGCGCACGCGCAATTGACCTGCACCAGGCTGGTGACTTCGCTGGTGCCGGCGCTCTGCGTGACGAACTTGCAGTGTTGGCCTGCCTCACACTCCGGCATCTGGCGCACGAAAGGCCGATATGTGAGATTGCGCTGCATCGACACCGTCCCACACGCGCTCACCTCGTGTAGTATGTGACCCTTATGGTGCTGAACAAGAGTCGGGAGACGCCTTCGCGCACAATGCATCTGAACAAAGCAGTTTTTTTGTTCTCTGCAGGCATTGCTCAACGGTGAAAAGATATATGCGCCAGAAAAGGTCCTCCTTAAACCCGTTGGATCCAACGTTTTAATCGCTTTTGGTGCCAATATTTCCCGCACCAACCCGATTTAAGCATGTCAGCACCCTCGCATAGCACATGGCGGCTCTCCTAACCTTGGTGCAGGCCTTGGTGGTGAGCATGACATCGCTGTCTGCCGTCTCCTGCCACTGGGAGTCGGTCTGCTTGAGCTGGTGGCCGGCCGGGCAGCGGCAGTGGATGTACTCGTGATGCGCCATGGCCATACTCTCGTCCCGGTGGCTGACCAGCTCGTCGGTCATCGCCTGCTGGCCCGGCTCGCACTCGGCCAGCTCGGGCGCCTCGCGACAGTACTGCAGGCCACATATGCGCACTGTAACAGTGCTGGAGCTCACAGACACACGGCGCGGGATGGTATGTCTGTGGGCCGCAGTACTGGGACGTACCGTGTCTAAGAGGCACAGCTCCGTCACGTGCCGTGTCTGGCGGCAGTAGTCTGTAGTACCGTCACGTGCCGTGTCTGTGGGTGGCAGTGGCTTCGTGTGTCGTGTCTGTGAGTCGCAGTATCGCTACGTGCCGTATCTGTGGCACGTAGCTATACTGCGTCCTACAGACACAACACGTGAAGGTACTGCCACCCACAGGCACGGCACGTGACGGTACTATAGACCACAGACACGGTAGGTTAAGTTACTGAGGCTCACAGACAAAGCGTGTGACAGAACTGCAACCCACTGATACGACGCGTGATATTACTACCCGCCGGCATGGCGCGCGACGGTGTTGTTACTCGCAGATACGTCATCAGGATTGGTGCTCAAAAGCTTGCGAAAAAATGGAGTGCTCCGAAAAGTGCAAAGGAGGTGCAAGAGGTGCTCAAGAGGGCTGAAATTTGTGGTTGGGAATGCATGTTAGACAATTGTTAAAACGACAGCATACGCTTAAACTAAAACACACAAGAAATGCGCGCCGTCGGCGCCTGAAGATGAGTAAATAATGACATTTTGAACATCCGTGTGAAAAGGTAATAGAATAGGATGGGATCGGCGATTATTTGGTCGGGGAAAGTGCTGAAAACTCACGCCAGGTCACTGTTCGAAACGCCACAAATGCCTCAGTTGTAGTCGAAACTTCGCCAACCTTGGGCTCGCCAAAATGTGCCAGTCTTATTACGAACTGATACCTGGTCTGCCTATTATTTGCTGACAAAAGCTCTGCGCCTTCATAGATAAAATCAAAGGTCCTCTCTATCTCTCGAAATAAAGAGGTCCAAAGCCAAAGTTCTCTTCATTACGGAGGGTAGGCCCTTTTCTGTTGAACTGAGCCCCAATTGGTCAGAGCCCGTGGGTCATGCCCCCCCCTCCCACACACACACACGCCGTTTCGGAGAGCAATCTCCAGCCATGACTGCGGCCCGAAGATGTAACACGTGACGGCATGGACGCCCACACATACGGCATACGGCATATGACGGCACTGCGGTATTGCCATGACACTCCCAGTACTCTTACACTTACCAGCACTGCGACCCACAGCCGCGACACGAGAAACACTACTGGGCCCACAGACACGGCACGCGATGGTGCTGCCACTAGAGATATGACATGCTATGATACTAAGGCTGACGCTTTTTTTGTATTTGGAATACCCGCATCTGCCCCGTACCCAAGTTGAAAGGCCTGCACACGCCACGTGAAGAAGGTGTCCCCCAAAAAACAGCATGGGCCCGCCAACCTTATTTTTCGTTCCAGGTACACATCCCAAACCTTTTGCTATCATCATTACCCAGAACAAGAGGACTTAAGAAACCTTAAGCCATGCTCATCTGTTCTTTTATGTTTTTGTCATGGAAAACATCAAGAGACTTATTTATTCCAAGCGCACATACTTAGGCTCATCACAACGCACGGGTCACCACAATATTCGCCAAATATCCAGCCTTAGGTGGGTGAATAGTGTTATTATTATCGGTATTCTGCACCTCAAGGTTCCTTAAGGTGCAGAATACCGGGCAATGCCCGCAATGTTGTCAACAATACTCGTTAAAAAACCTGCGGACCTCTTAAGCCCGCACGCATTGCGGGCCTGCGGGCTTAAAAGTGGCAGCACTATGCAGGTCCATATATACTAAGGTCCACAGCCACGAGGCATGACACTACCGCGGCTCACAGACAGGATGTGGGATAGCATTGCTGGTCATAGACACGGCACGTGACGGCACAGCAGCACACAGGCACGGCACGTAACAGCCCTGTCCAGGGGTGTAGTGTCGAAAAATGAGTTTGGGGGAGCTGAGCATTGAAACATGATGAAATGTACCCCAGACTACGCCAAGACACCAATATCTCCACTGGTTTAGCTCACTTTCTTCCAAAAGTTGGGGGCTGAAGCCCAAGTTGAGAGGAGGAGATCCCCTTCCACTGAATAGGAAACTACACCTCTGTGCTGCCGCCAACAAACACAAGAGATAGTGGTGCTGTGCCCCACAGGTACAATACTTGGCCGGACAATATTGCCTGTGACGTAACACAAACAGCCAGCAGCACAAGACACACAAAGGAGCTTTTGATCATGGTGGCATGGCTTCGACTTTCCACTGGCAGCACTGTTATCTCGGACGCGCATCATTGCTCGCACACGATGGAGCCGAGGCCATTGAATGTCAAGTCGTACGCCGCTGAGCAGGTTATCTATGTGAGCTCCGTAACGGCTGACGTCGTGAACGTCGTCACCATGATGAAAGCTGGAGACAGCGAGCGCTGTGCTGCGCGGGCAGGGCGCCGGGCTGACCTTGTACTGGTTGGAGCCATGGGTGACGGAGCGGCCGTCCTCCGGGTCCCAGAGCAGCGGACACGGCTCGTGGCCCGGACAGTCGCAGAAAGATTGAGCGTTGATGCCCCAGGCGTTGGCCTGGACCAGGCCGCACACCGCCAACCTCTTGCAGGTCATCAGGCTGCGCTTCTGCAAAAGGCAGCGCGTCCCGTCGGCGTCAGTGACGGTGACGCACCGCCGCTGTCATAAGAGGAGGCATGACGGCATGGACGCCCACACATACAAGCCTGCAACGGCTGCAGCAGGAGCAACAACACGCCCTGGTCGCCGGAGGAGCCCAGACGCACACCGTGCGACTGAGGAGCCCCCACACACGACCAGCAACGGCTGCAGCAGGAGCAACAACACGCCCTGGTCGCCGGAGGAGCCCAGACGCACACCGTGCGACTGAGGAGCCCCGACACACGACCAGCAACGGCTGCAGCAGGAGCAACAACACGCCCTGGTCGCCGGAGGAGCCCAGACGCACACCGTGCGACTGAGGAGCCCCCACACACGACCACTACGTCGGGGAAAACGAATGTGGTGGGCGTGTGTGGTGGAAACATGTAAATTGAGCGCGTGCAATGTTCTGGCAATCTAACTGCACCGCGCAGGCTCGTTACTGCAGGGTGATGTTTAATTTGATCTTGGCATGGACGAAATCATTGCTCATGCATGGTGCCGTAGCACCATGGCGACAGCCTTCCTTCGTCTCGGTATAGCGATGCGACAAAATAATGAGGTGTGACGGACTAGGCAATGGCTGCTGCACTGGTGACACTCTACCGATCACGGTGTTTTATCGGTCATTCAGAATACAGCTTGTCAATAAGAATACAGCTTGTCCACGAAAGCCAGTACAGGCTAACTCAAACCTAAACCACAGCAATAAGAGTGAACTGAACAACAACAAAGTCTATGTGGTACTCCCAGAAAAAGAAGCTTTGCTCCGACATGCGATTGTCGTGCTCTGGGCTCAGCACCAGATTGTGTAATAGAAAGCAACCTCATTCGTAGCATCCATTAACCTTTGCACATGGGGTGTTATTGACGCCCCACACATGACAGATTAGGCAATAAGTACGTCTGTCATTGCCCTAAGCTGTAAGGTACAATAAAATAAATTGTGCCGTTGATATTCTCCTGTCATTTCTGGTGACTCTTATATGCAATTTTTATCATTCAACCCCGCATGCATGTACTGAACCGTATAAAATCGAGACTTGACAATCCATACATGGGGGCGATTTTATGCAATGAGCCTTCTGGACCTCTGGAACCTAATGGAATGAAAACAGAGTTAAAGAAAAATGGCTGACGCGATAAAACTCTGTGAAATGAGAGGGAAGAAACCGATTGCAGAAGGCTGCTTGCGTTACATATCGCTCTCAACGTAACTCTGCTGGTATCTTTTTTAAACACAGCATCATACAGTCCTTTAACACGAGGGAACTGACATAGATTTATTTTATGTTGTTGTGATTGAGGCACTGCAGACCAACTGTACTTCGTGTCTTGTATGTTGATGGGATACGATAATTTTTCACCGAATTCCAAGAGACCTCACGCTGCTTTGTCGGAATGGAAATGACTTACAGCCTCTCTGAAAGGTTAATTGGACGAAGAAATGAAAACAGAAGATGAAGCAGACTGGGATGTTCATCCCAGGGCCAAAAGGAAAGACAAACTTAAGACACTCTCGTTGGCAGAAGCGTGTTAATGAAAGTATGTGGAGATGACATACTGAACATGTGATAAGAAAATTATGCTTGGTAAAAGGACCGTCGCAGGGCTCCCACCGCGGCGAGTGCATCGTAAATGAGTACGTTTATGGGTAAGACAAGCATGTCCGATGGAAATTCTGGCCAACAGCCTCAGCCCTTGTCTATAGTTTTGGTTTGAAGATATCCAGGTTTGAGTTCAACTTTTTATAAAATGCGATTTGGTTGCGCCATTATTGTAATAATGGACCATTCACCTTGCCAATACTTCGAGGCATAGCGACGTTAGTCTATTGCCGGAACACTATTCCGGCAGCTTTAATTTGTTTCATGAAAAGGACACAACGAATTATTGAAATTTAGCTGTAGCTATCGGTAGGGAAAAGATGTTCCATGCTCTGTGGTGACAATTGCAGTAGCGACTTGAGATAGTAAGGACAGCAGTAAGGACAGAGAGTTGTTCGAGCCTCAGAAAGTTTGCTACGACTTCACGGCAACCCCATCTAAAATCCAAGTTAGGAACTGAATCACATCATGTGGAGCATGTCAAGTGTAACTGAATGGGATGATGATCGCTGTCACGAATAGCAGAGTCATCGTACCACTGAAAAAAAAGCACTGGTGGGAGCCGAGCTTACAGAAGAATCAAAAGCTGATTTCATGACATGCGATAACGCGAAATGTCTATTGTTGTCATCGTTAAATATGGCATATGGTGTGCATCGATAAAGTCCTCTCCTTTTCAGCGCCGCGTCAGATACACGAGGGCCATTACTCCATAGTTCGGCATGAGTATTGAAGTCGCCCAGTCCACAAAATTATAATTCCGCAACTATTTCATTCATAGATGCCCAAAATTCAGTCGCGTCACAACTGGGTGGAAACATGTAAATTGAGCGCGTGCAATGTTCTGGCATTCTAACTGCACCGCGCAGGCTCGTTACTGCAGGGTGATGTTTAATTTGATCTTGGCATGGACGAAATCTTTGCTCATGCATGGTGCCGTAGCACCATGGCGACAGCCTTCCTTCGTCTCGGTATAGCGATGCGACAAAATAATGAGGAGTGTCGAGTTGTAGGGCCTGAAACGCAACGGAAATTTTTGTCATAGTGCAGTTGCAATCAAAGTAAAAAGGAAGAAAACGCTTAAGCCTATTTGCCTATTATATAAGCCTATTATAAGCCATATTGGTATGAATCCGCAGCAATTTCATTGAAGGATAAAAGTCAGTTAGTGATGCCGATCAGACCCATCCCTGGTGGGTGGTGGGAGTCGGCCGTACGAAACAGACCATGGCTGGCCTATTCCCTCCACCACTGGTGGGCAGGACTGGCTGTCCTCTTCTGGGCTTGTTGCGGACGTCGCTGTTCAGGGGGGGGGGGGGGGGGGGGGGAGCGTTCGCGGCTCGGCCGGAATGACCTGGTTGTCGATCACATGTAGCTGGAGGGCTAGGACGGTGGCTAACCTGGGGACGGCAGCGCGCGGGTGACTGTGCGTCCAAACGCCCGGTCAGGGGCGGCTCGAGGGCGCAGGCCGTTTGGGTCTGCGTGCTCGATGCAATCGAGGAAAAGTCGGGAGGAACGAGAGTTTTCAGAGGAGGTTGTTGAAGAATAGACCCTGTCGGAATACTCCACCTCGCTTCTTTGGCGTTTACCGTCTGTGTGTGCTTGGTTTGGGGACGGTTGCGATATTTTTGCTTCGTATTTTTCTACACTAAATGATACAACACGTCAGATGTTACTTTGACTGTACAGGTCTTCTTTTCGCGGTTTCACGCAGGTCTGCGTTGATTTGGTGGCGCTTTCTGCATTGTCACGATTGCCACGGTTTGACCGGTGACATACGGGCCGATTCGTCGTGCGGAGCTACGCCGCACTCTGAGTGCCGAGCGCTCCGTCGGTAGGTCTTGCTTCCAGGACCAAAGCGTTGGCACTTGTAGCAGCGCAGTGTGTTTTGAATAAAAAAATACTTGCAATGAGTGGCGAACGTGAGCACCAATGCGACTTTCATGGTGTCCATTTGTTTAAGAAGTGACGATACATGGGCTTGTGTCACGCCTCCGGCCGTCTTTGGAGGTTGCCAGACAAAGGACATGATACGCTTTTTCTGTTCCAAGACCATTCATAATTTCGTCTTCAGACATGAAGCGCACCTCTATGTTATAAATCCTACCCTTGGTATTTTCCGGGCTTGGTGGAGTAAGCCGCTGATATGCTTTTCACTAAATTTAATAGTCTTCAAGAGAGCTTGAGTTGGGAATGGGTTTTGGCTTCATATGATGAGAGCTGTTTGTCTGATCTTCAATGTCGAGATCAGGCGCACCGCAGATAGCCGTAGCTCGCCTGTCCGACCAGCAAACATTTACCTTCCAGATGGGAGCATTCTCGTCTGTTGGTTTTACCACGAGAAATGGGTGAGAAGTCATTAATAAGTTTATAGACGTGGTTGAACAAGTGGCGTGCCTAGGCCAGGGCAGGTCAATCAGTCAGATCCAGTCGAGCATTCGTTACAAACGGGGAACTTCGCCGGAGGCCAGCGAGGGTTAGTAGCACTTTGTCACAAACAATCAGCAGAGACAGGTGCAGTGTCACTAGCCCGAGGCGTGAGGGTGACGGCGAGAGCAGCGGGCGCAGTGGCGGATCCGGCGGCCTGTTTGTTGTTCATGCAAAGGTCAGCAACGGGAGGAACAATCGATGCGCCGCAGTCATCAGCGACGTGTTTGTCAATGACTAGTGACCGGACGTTGAACATCCTGGGTCCTTGTCCGTGTCAGCCTTTCTCCGCTTGCCTCGTTTTATCACACCGGGAAAGCGCAAAAAGAAATCAACCGAAAACTTCCAAGTGGATTAAAAAACATATATCAAACGGAGCAAGCAAGAACGACCAGGAAAGTCTTTAGCGGAAGCCACAAGACAACCGCACCTACGCACCAACTCAGGCGGTATCATCTCTAATGAGCATGAACACCCGATGAATGAACTGACTTTCACGCCGCTTCCACCGGAGACTCTCACTACCACCATGCCAGAAGCCGAGTAGCCGGTTTTCGCCGTGTTCTCATCAGAGAGGGACCCGGAGAGCACTGAACCGCAGTGACCTTCTTTCACTTTTACCTGAAGGGGTCAACACGAATCCTGCGGACGTTAACCCTCCCGTCATTTCGTCGCTCATTGGACCAGAGCCACGGCACAAGCTCCACTGGATGGCTTAGTGCCTGAGGAGTAATGTGACAGAGTTTGGCTTGACTTCTGCAGTGTGGTTGTGCGGGGTGTGCGCCCTCGCCCTCTCTGTCTTCCGAGCTTTACATCTGAGTGGGTCTGGGGGGCGTCACGTGACTGTGAGTCTCCCGATTCGCCAGGGGTCAACGGCCGGCCGCTGAGGCGGCGGCAGGGACCCGACACTCGCAGTTACCGGTCGGTCTTTGG